GGACTACGGAGCCCACAGCCATGAGTCTGGCTCCATGCTCGTTATGGTAATTCTCTATTCACGAGTGCACTCACGCGCTGAGTGATCCGAAACAATTATCGACTCGGTCGTAAAGTTGTTATGAAACTTCCCGATTTCAAAAAAAACACCACGCACACAGAGAACACAAGCACGACATTTCACGCAACGTTGCATAACGGTTTATATGACGCTCGGCGCTTGGGGTCCAGGCACGCTCCAAACGCGCTGCTCTTGATAACACTGGTCAACCAAAAAAAAATATTCTGGCCTGGACTTTTGCAGCTGTTCTAGACTAATTTCAGGGTGCTGATTACAAATCTGATCTCAGATGTGCTCTATCACATCTCATTTTTATGCTATCGGCATACCCCATTTTCATTAATTTTACCCGAAATTAACTCCGTCACTTATGATTGCAAGTTGTTGCGAGTCAGTGACTGCTTTAGTGTTAAAATATGGTGCTGTATTTTAGGATGGTGTGTTTATAATATCATTTTAGTAGATATCCACATTTATTTAATATTTTTCTTCTGCAGTTTATATGAAAATGCAATATTTGATATCTCAAAAACCTGATGTGATGGACAAAAACTGATGCCACATTTGGAATCAGCACCCCAAAATTACCTTATGCCAGAAAAAGTGTGACCAGTGTAATGCATGCAGGGGTCGATAGCAGGGGGGGGGTCTGCAACCTGTGGCTCAGGAGTAGCCATGTGGTGGCTCTTGAAATTCGAAAAAAATGGCTCTTCTTGTTATTTGGTTGCTGCGCCCTGACCATGTAATTTCCAGTTCGTCATGGGAGTCCAGTTCACCATGGGAGTCCAGTTCACCATGGGAGTCCAGTTCACCATGGGGGTCCATGTTGAACTTCTTTCGCGCCGTACGTAGCCAGCCCTGCTCTTCGGAGGTTCAGGGAGGGGAAGGAAAGACCAACAATACAATAACAACACAAAAGCACTTCTCAAGAAATGAGTTGATGCCAATCCACGTGCGACTCGCAAAGGTCCGCTCACGACAACAACAACAGCATCTCACTGCAGTGTTCGGGCCCCGCGTACTTGGGTTGGCATGAGGGTTCCCTACTCTTAGCTCTTTCGGTAAAGTCACGTAGGTAAAAAAAATAAATTTAAATTAATAAAAATAAAATAAAAATCACGACGTTTCGGAGGCAACACAAGTCTCCGTCATCAGGTGGGACCGTCACAGCCAGATTTGCTGCATCAAGGGTTACCACCGGTAATTGGCATCGATCTCTTACTGGCATTGTCTCTCCCCGAATTCTCAATGTCCACGGTTCTGCGTTTGTATTTCGCTGGCCAGCGGAGACGTGAACCGAACGTAGTGCCGTAAGTAGTTGGTGACATTACATCATGTTGGAAAACACACACACACGTTTCCCGGAATAGCGTCAGTCAGGTGGAAAAACCCTTCACAAATGGCGAGGAGATGTCTCCATCGCCTGGTACGCAGCAGGAAAGGCGTGGGTTCGATCCCAGACCCTGGCCGCGTGTTCTCGCCCCCTATTCTACAGTGGGAGTGAGATGGTGGGTGAGTGAGTGTTAGTGGGAGTGGGTGAGTGTTGTGTGGGTGAGTGAGTGAGTGGGGGACCACGTGTTCTCTCCCCTGTTCTCCAGTGACTGAGTGTTAGTGAGTGTTGGTGTGCGTGTTAGTGTGGGTGAGTGTTATTGTGAGTGTAAGTGTGTGTGAGTCATCTCGGTCATCTCAGTCAGTCGACCCGTGGCACCTGGGTCTGCCCCGTGACCTCCTGCCAGCGGACGTTCGACACTTCACGTGGCCTCAAGGTGCACATGGCCTGGCACAAGCGTCGTGGTGACGTCACCGCCACTTAGTGGCGAATGGCGGTTGTTGTTATGTGTGTGTCTGTGTGTGTGTTCATGCAAGTAAGTGTTAGTGTGAGTGAGTGTTAGTCTGAGTGAGTTTAGTGAGGTTTTCGTGCGAGTAAATGTTAGTATGTGTAAACCGTGAGTGAGTTTAATACGAGTGAGTGTTTAGAGTGAGTGAGTGAGTGTGAGTGTTAGTCTGAGTGTTGGTGTGAGTGAGTGTTGGTGTGATTGAGTGAGTGGAATCCGCGTGTTTCCCTCTCCCCGTTGGAGCGTTCTTCGGGTCCCTCTGGGTTTGCTCTCCTCCTCCTCCACACTGAGAACCAACTCACCCGCAGAGGATTCGGCCCTTACTATCAAATATTCCCACGCGTGACGGCGGATGATGATATCGGCCACTGTGACGAGGAGCTGTCATCATGCGCGGCCAGGTGGACTCTGAACAGAGCTATGGTTCAGCGAATCTCACCTCGTAATTTAAGATAGTTAACATGTTGTCTATGGGCAGTGCTGAGTCTATGAGCAGAGTTAAGCCTATGGGAAGTCTTGAGTCTATGGGCAGCGTTGAGTCTATGAGCAGTGTTAAGCCTATGGGCAGTGTTAAGATTGTTGAGCGATTATTTGCTTCTGAAAGAGCGCTATATAGCTCAGTGGGCCTTACCTGGTAAAATCAATCAATAGTTTAGTTTCATCTGGCTGCTGTTCCACATGTTACACGTGTGTTGACGACGATGACGACGAGCTATCATCACGTGTTGCCAGGCTCACCTGTGAATAGCTCAGTGGGCTCTGTACCCTGGAAAATAATTAAATAACAATACAATAGTTCTAGATTTGAAGCTTTCGTGACTGCAATGATTCATACTCTTAGGTTATTTCGGTAAAGTCACGTAGGTAAAATAATAATAATTATAAAATAATAATAAATAACAATAACTACATTAAATCACGACGTTTCGGAAGCAACACAAGCCTCCTTCATCAGGTGTAACTGCTCCAGTAAAATTACTGGAGCGTAATTAAGTAAATTTTACTGGAGCAGTTACCCCTGATGACGGAGGCTTGTGTTGCTTCCGAAACCGTGTGATTTAATTGAGTTATTTTCATTTATTATTATTTTTACCTACGCGACTTTACCGAAAGAACCTAAGAGTAACAATACATCGTTTGCAGTTTAAAAATAAGTCACGGGCGATGGCGTCGACGCTTCGTCGGTGCAGGCCACGCGTCGCTTGAGCACGTGGCCTCTGTGTGACCGCCCGCGCGAGGTCACGTGGCAACAGCGTCACGGCGTCACAGCGCCACCTGCAGTTTTGTTCGTTTAAAAAAAGAATCACACAATGCGCGGGATCGTCCCTCGGGTACGGCGAATCAGAGCGACCGCCCCGGGACCCCCTCGTGCGCTTTGGGGGGCAGGGGGGGGCGGCACACGGTGGGATTTGCCCCCGGACCCAGCACGCACCCCCACCCCTCCCCCGCCTCTGTGGACGGCCTCGATATCATCAACACCGCGCTCGCTTGGCGAGCGTGGCGTGATTTAACAGCGCACGCCTTTGCGTCCAGATGATTAACACTCCGTAATACACCACGCCGAAACACCATGGGGATATACCACGCCGAAACACCATGGGGATACACCATGGCAATACACCATGGGGATACACCATGGCAATACACTACGCCCATGCACCATGCCAATGCACCATGCCAATGCACCATGCCAATGCACCATGCCGATACACTCTTACATTACTACATCCACCCAGTGAACAGCCCGTAGCTGCTGCTGCTGCTGCTGACGACGAGTGACGCGATCTGTGCATTCTGCGTTGTTGCGAGCATCGCTGCGTTATGAAGACGACGACCTCCACCACCACCACCACCACCCCCACGGTGCCCCATTCGGCTGTACGGGGGGGATGGCAGAAGCACTCAGCCAGTGTATGAAGCTAGTGCGGGCCCTGTAAGCATTTGTTATAAAGGGGTCCTAAATAAAAAAACACGTTATAAATACATACATAGTTAACTTGCACAGTACAGTTATTGTATTTTTGTCATTTGCTATAAGCAAGATAATACGACAAATCTCTAACCTTAAACACCCGGTCGTTCGTAATAGTCGAAGGCGGTATAGTACTATAGTAATAGAGCAAGTGCAGACTCACTGAGCCAGAGTTGATAGCTTGAAAGCATTTAACGCGGGGCCCTTGAAAGTGCGGGGCCCGTAGCATGTGTAGCTACTACATATGTAGTAGCTACTACATATGTAGTAGCTACTACATATGTAGCTACTACATATGTCATTTGCTATGAGCAAGATAATACGACAAATCTCTAACCTTACATATGTAGTAGCTACTTGTGCTGCGAGGATAATCCGGTACTGCACCCAGCTCACGCTCAACTTGATAGCACGCGGTGGGTTTCGAAAAGCCAACGTGGGGCGCATCATAGGTAGGGTGTAACACGTAGCAGCAGCAGTAGCAGCAGGAGGGTTTCGCGACCTAATGTTGTGCACAATCAAAGTTGGCTTTGTTGTCGTTTGGGTGAGATCGCATAAATATAACAACCCACCAGCCAATTGGTCAGGATTTATCACGTACATAAACAAAGTGCCAGTTTAGTTACTAGGTCAGCACTAACCGGTTGCGTGTTGGGAGAGAGAAACCCACCACAACATGTATAGTTTGCACTCAAAACACACAAGCGGTTAGTGCGGAACTCGTAAATCATTGTCCCACCTGGTGCTTACGAGACAACCTCCTTATTAATTGGCCGTGTCGGGTGGTGGTGGTGGCGGTTACGGGTTTAAGGGCACAACATTTCTATTTACACGATGAAGCCCCAACAAAACAACAACAACAACCCTGTTAGGTTCATAACGGGCTGTTTGGTTTGAAGGCGACGCAATGGTCTGAGCGAACGCGTGTCGTCAAGGCCCTCCGCCACCCGACGCAGACAGACACATGTGACGTTGTCGAGTGATTGACGCGATAATCGATGACAGAATCACAGTCACAATCTGAATGTATCCTGGAGGGATCCGATGTTGTGCACAGACGTGCACTAGAAATCGCACCGTTTAACACCTCGTCGGAGGAGGAGGAGGTTTTCCGCCACCAAAATTATCCACAATCAACATGTTTTTTGTTGGTTTAGATCGCGTAAATATATAAATGTGTCGTTAAACTCGCCACCACCCGACACAGCCAACTAGTAAGGGGTTTGGCAAGTCAACAGAACGTGCCGACGAGTTACTAGCGCAGCACTAACCGCTTGTGTGTTGGAGAGTGAAACCCACACAACATTTACAATTCCAGTACTGTGACGTGTCGCTGGTTGATTACAACAATAACCACCACCAGCTTCGTCAGGCGATTGGTAACAACTAGCCGGGCATGAACCCAGAGAGAGGGAGAGAGAAGATGAATGAGACACAGGGAGAGACATAGAGAGAGACACGAGAGAGAGACACGGAGAGAGACACGGAGAAAGACATGAGAGAGACATGGAGAGAGACACGGAGAGAGACACGGAGAGAGACACGGAGAGAGACAGAGAGCGAGACACAGTGAGAGACACGGAGAGAGACACGAAGAGAGACACGGAGAGAGACACGAGAGAGAGACACGGAGAGAGACACGGAGAGAGACACGAGAGAGAGACACGAGAGAGAGACACGGAGAGAGACACGAGAGAGAGAGACACGGAGAGAGACACGGAGAGAGACAGAGAGCGAGACACAGTGAGAGACACGGAGAGAGACACGAAGAAAGACACGGAGAGAGACACGAGAGAGAGACACGGAGAGAGACACGGAGACAGACACGGAGAGAGACACGGAGAGAGACACACGGAGAGAGACACGGAGAGAGACACGGAGAGAGACACACGGAGAGAGACAGAGAGCGAGACACAGTGAGAGACACGGAGAGAGACACGGAGAGAGACAGAGAGCGAGACACAGTGAGAGACACGAAGAGAGACACGAAGAGAGACACGGAGAGAGACACGGAGAGAGACAGAGAGCGAGACACAGTGAGAGACACGGAGAGAGACACGAGAGAGAGACACGGAGAGATACACGGAGAGAGACAGAGAGCGAGACACAGTGAGAGACACGGAGAGAGACACGAAGAGAGACACGGAGAGAGACACGAGAGAAAGACACGGAGAGAGACACGGAGAGAGACACGGAGAGAGACAGAGAGCGAGACACAGTGAGAGACACGCAGAGAGACACGAAGAGAGACACGGAGAGAGACAGAGAGAAACACAGAGAGCGAGACGCAGGAAGAGACACGGAGAGAGACAAAGAGTGAGACACACAGAGAGACAGAGAGCGAGACACGAGAGAGAGACACGAGAGAGAGACACGGAGAGACACGAGAGAGAGACACGGAGAGAGACACGGAGAGAGAGACACGGAGAGATAAGTCGAGGCACGAGAGCGAGAGGGAGGCGAGAGAGAGGCGAGAGAGATGGAGACGCAGGGAGAGACACGGAGAGAGAGACACGGAGAGATAAGTCGAGGCACGAGAGCGAGAGGGAGGCGAGAGAGAGGCGAGAGAGATGGAGACGCAGGGAGAGACACGGAGAGAGAGACACGGAGAGATAAGGCGAGGCACGAGAGCGAGAGGGAGGCGAGGGAGACAGAGAGATGGAGACGCAGGGAGACGTGAGGTCCATCACACGTCAGTCTCCACCACGACCTCCTCCTTCGCCTCCCACTCCAGGGAAGAGTGCAAGCACCGCTCGCTCGCGCGCTCCTCCTTCTCCTCCTCCTCCTCATCCTCGACCTCCTCCTCCTCGTCGCCCAGTGCCGCGTCTCCCATCTCGCGGAGTTTCAACGTCGACCCCTTCTCATCCTCCGTCTCCCGCTCCTTCGGCTCCTTCCTCGGCGACTCGGGCGTCTGGGGCGCGTCGGTGCCGGGCGTCATGTCGCCGGTACTGATCGCCCCGCGAGACGGGCGGCAGCAGCAGCAGAAGGAGGAGGAGGTGGAGGAGGAGGTGGGGCAGGAGATGATCCCGGGGCCTCCTGCGGTGGCGACCGAGTCGTCGGCGTCGCTTGGCTCGAAGTCGTCGGCGCAGGCGCGAGTGGAGTCGCCGCCGCCGTCCATCTCGAGGTGGTAGAAGTTGTTGAAGTTGGAGACGATCACGGGCACGGGCAGCGCGATCGTGAGCACGCCGGCGATGGCGCACAGCGTGCCCACGATCTTCCCGCCCAGCGTGATGGGGTACATGTCGCCGTAGCCCACCGTGGTCATGGTGATGATGGACCACCAGAAGGCGACGGGGATGCTCGTGAAGTTGGTGAGCGGCTCGTCCACCTCTGCGTAGTAGACGGCGCTCGAGAAGAGGACGACGCCGATGAAGAGGAAGAAGACGAGCAGGCCGAGCTCGCGCATCGACGCGTTCAGGGTCTGCCCGAGGATGCGCAGCCCCCTGGAGTGTCGCGACAGCTTGAAGATCCTGAAGACGCGCACGAGGCGCACGATTCGGAGGATGGCGAAGGACAGCGCCTGCTGCTGCGCGCTCTGCATGTCGGCGTCGGGCAGGCAGAGCATGGTGAGGAAGGGTACGATGGCGAGCACGTCGATGATGTTCATGAAGTTCTTGAAGAAGGCCGCCTTAACGGGGCACGCGCAGAAGCGCACCAGCAGCTCGAGGCAGAACCAGGCGATGCACGCCACCTCGACGGCGAACGCGCCTGCCGTGCCCCCCTCCTCGCCCCTCGCCCCCTTCTCGTCGCCGCTCTTCCGCTCGCCGTGCGGCACCGTCTCGAGGCAGAAGACCACCACGGAGGCGAGCGTGGCGAGCACCGAGACGAGAGCGACGCCGCGCGCCCACACGGAGCTCTCGGGGTGCTCGAAGAGGAGCCAGGCGCGCCGCTGGAGGCGATTGCGCGGCAGCGGCGGCGGCCGGTCTGGATCCTCCCGGGAACAGCGCTCCTCCTCGCAGAGGCGGCCGCGCGCCTCGGCGCCCAGGTCGTAGAAGCGCACCTCTTCCACGAAGAGGCCGTGGGGCACCACGGAGGGCCGGTGGAGGCTGCCGCCCGACTGGAAGTAGAAGAGGATCGCGCCGAAGCTGTCGCGGTTGCGATCGAAGAAGTACTCGTCGCGCAGCGGGTCGAAGAATCGCAGGAGGCGAGAGGCGTCGCCCAGGAGCGTGCGGGGGAAGCGCTCCAAGGTGCTGCGACGCGTCTCGAACCTCAGCCCCGACACGTTGATGGACACGCGCTCGCTCCAAGCCGCCACGGGCAGCTCCTGGCCCTGCTGCTGCTGATGATGATGGTGCTGATGTTGTTGTTGTTGGGGATACTGGTGGTGGTGGTGATGGCTGGGCAGGTCGTGCGTGGTGAAGAGCGTGTAGCTGCTGCCGCTGCCGCTCTCCGTGGCGGGTTGTGGCGATGCGCAGCCGCGTCTCATGGCGAGCTCCGCGACGCTGGCGCTGGACATTTGCGGCCACTTACACCTCTCTCTCTCTTTCTTTCTCGAGATGATGATGATGGTTTATTCTCTACCCCATCTGCTCTCTTCAGGAAGCGCGCTGCTGCCACAGTGACCGAAACGTCGAACCTGTTCCATATCTAACGCGAGCGCCAACACCACCACCAACAACCACCACGACCACCACCACCACGACCACGCGTGGATGTGACCGCGTAACGAGCAATCACAGATCTCTCTCCTCTCTCCTCGATCGCCACCGACCACCCCGAATCGTCCGAACCGCCGACTCACCGCCTCCCCCACCCTCACCACCCCACACCACCACCACCACACAGCTTCATCCGAGTCGTGTCCGCCTCATTAATTCGTGATGAGCTTCCATCGTGAAGCACTCAGCGGCGAATCTCCACCCCACCCACCCCCTCCTTATCCTCCTCCTCAAGCCGCGCTGGTGGTGCTGGTGGTGGTGGCGGGGCTCACGTTCCATTAAAATCTCCTGGCTTCTCTTGCGTCCCATTAGCGAAGCATCAATTGATCGGCGTCTAAAGAGGCGCGCGATATACCGGCAGCAGCAGCAGCGGTAGCAGCAGCAGTAGCAGCAGCAGTAGCAGTAGTAGCAGCAGTAGTAGTAGCAGCAGCAGTAGCAGCAGCGGCAGCAGTGGTAGCAGCAGTAGCAGCAGTAGTAGTAGCAGCAGCAGTAGCAGCAGCGGCAGCAGCGGTAGCAGCAGTAGCAGCAGTAGCGGCAGTAGCAGCACGGTAGCAGCAGTAGCAGTAGTAGCAGCACGGTAGCAGCAGCAGCAGCGGCAGCAGCGGTAGCAGCAGTAGTAGTAGCAGCAGCAGTAGCAGCAGCAGTAGTAGCAGTAGTAGCAGCAGCGGTAGCAGCAGCGGTAGCAGCAGTAGTAGTAGCAGCAGCAGTAGCAGCAGCGGCAGCAGTGGTAGCAGCAGTAGCAGCAGTAGCGGCAGTAGCAGCAGCAGTGGCAACAGCAGCAGCAGCAGCGGTAGCAGCGAGGGGTCACCGAGGCCGTGTCCAGCGAGGAGCTGGGCAGAAATCATCCGACCGCAGCGATGGTTACGGCACCACCACGGACCCTACTGAGTACTCGTAGTGATACAAATAGTAATAATAGTAGTAATCAACACAGCAATGGGTACACTACTATTACCACTATAATACTACCAATACACATACATGATTACACTACTACCACGACAATCATCATAATACACAATGGGTACACTAATATTACAACTACAATACTACTAATACACATACATGGTTACACTACTATTACAACTACAATACTACCAATACACATACCCGGTTACACTACTACCACGACAATCCTAATAATACACAATGGGTACACTAATATTACAACTACAATACTACTAATACACATACATGGTTACACTACTACCACGACAATCCTAATAATACACAATGGGTACACTACTATTACCACTACAATACTACTAATACACATACATGGTTACACTACTACCATGACAATCCTAATAATAATAAACACAGCAATGGGTACACTAATATTACCACTATAATAATCCACATACATGGTTACACTACCACCACTACAATCCTAATAATACACAATGGGTACACTAATATTACCACTATAATAATCCACATACATGGTTACACTACTACCACTACAATCATCATAATAATACACAATAGTTACACGAATATTACCACTATAATACTAACAATAAACACAGCAATGGTCACACTACTGCTACGACTGCAATTATAACACAGCAACAATGACAGTGAGGGAGATGTTAACTACCTCGCCTGGCCTACAGGAGGCCGGTGGGTTCGATCCCGACCCTGACGCCTGCTGCTGCTGTATATTTGGAGTTTGCGTGTCTCTTTCTCTCCGTGTTCGCGTGGATTTTTCTCCGGGTACTGTGGTTTTCCCCCTTCAAATTTGGAATCAACATCACGCTCTAAGAGTAGTTGGCTGCTGCTATGAATCTCCACGTGGTGATGGTGGTGATGATGATGATGATCCACCACTTCGTTGAGGCTGCCATTTGTGATGGGCAGGTCGCTTCTGAAAAAAACATCTACACGGCTCAGTGGAGCCTCACCTGGGACAATAAAACAAGTTGATTGTTTGGTTTGACGATGTTGATGATGTTGATGTTGTTGTTGTTGAAGCTTGGAATGTCAAAGCGAGGAAGAGGAGGAGGAGGAGTGAAAGCCAGGAGGCGGTGATGCTCACTCCAGGGAATATTTGTGTCTCGATAGGGCTGAATGAATAATCGATTTCAATTCGAAATCGCAATTTGAAACAATGCGATTATCAAATCGCAAATGCTGCGATTTTTTGCAATTTGAAAAGTCCTAAAACTTTCTTATTGGAATATTATTATTTGAACTTTATCTAACTTAACAATTGTTCTATGTTTGATTGTTCTATTTCAATGAAACATTTTTAATAAATACACGTTGGAAGCAATTCATATTTTTTAAGTGCTCATCCTTGCATTAGAATATTTTAGAGCAATTGATATTTCATGGTATCACGTGGTAATGTTCCACCACATGTTTGAAATCTATTCCACAGGGAATATTGAACTGAAGCTTAACTTGAAAATGTTTAATCGCAAATCGCATTATCTGTCAGAAACATCGCCATGAGACATTCCCGCCCAAATCGTTGAGCCCTCGCCTCGAGCACAAGACATCTGGTTCCAGATGTCTTGTGACCCCCCCCCCCCTTTACAATTAAATCTCTAAAACGAAATGTATATATTGTAAGACATTTGTATTTAAAACAGAAGGGAATGTAAATGTTGATTTAAAGCTTTCGTGACTGCAGGGATTCATGTTCGTGGTTCTTTCGGTAAAGTCACGTAGAAGGGAAATAATAAAATAATAAAAAATATAAAACAATAACAATTCTCACGACGTTTCGACTGCAAAAAAAAACCGCCACTTTATTCAAATTTTCTTGCTGTGGATTTCACACCTGATGATGATTGCTTGTGTTGCAGTCGAAACGTCGTGAGATTTTTATTGTTTAATATTTTTATTCTTTTATTATTTCCCTTCTCCATGACTTTACCGAAAGAACCAAGAATAAGAAAGGAATATACAAAGTGAAAAAAACATTCGTTATGTCTGGGTAGGGGGGAGGGTCTCAAGACATCCGGACCACCCTGTAATTCGGAATCTTTACGCTGCATAAACACGCGTGTTATTATTCTCATCTATGGAACACATGCAACTCCACAGGTGATTTCTCTACCTGTCACTCAGGTGATCTCTCTACCTGCCACACAGGTGATCTCTCTACCTGTCACACAGGTGATCTCTCTACCTGTCACTCAGGTGATCTCTCTACCTGCCACACAAGTGAGACCTCTACCTGTCACACAGGTGATCTCTCTACCTGTCACACAGGTGATCTCTCTACCTGCCACACAGGTGAGACCTCTACCTGTCACACAGGTGATCTCTCTACCTGTCACACAGGTGATCTTTCTACCTGCCACTCCGGTGAGACTTCTACCTGTCACACAGGTGATCAGAACGCTGGTTTAAGTGCGCGTGACTTTTGCCAATGAGACACCGGATGTCGAAACCGGTGTGGAGTTGCGTGGTGTGGCTAATTGGAGGTGTAAAAATACTCGTGGTGTTATTGTTACTTCTTGACGTGGAGCGGCAGGGCGTGTTGGTTGTGCAGCGGTGACTCTGGCATGCGAAGTTAAATATAAACCCACAGAACGAGACGGGGATTATGAGCACTCTTATGCAAGAGGCCCATCCCAAGCCACACTTAAACTAAACTATTTTTATTGTGGCAGCTGTAAGGCTCCACTGAACTGCTCTGTAGTAGCTCTCTCTCTTGCAGAGGCGAGCCGCCCATCGCAAATAAAAGCTCAACGGAGGTGCGCTCATCATCACCACGTGCACATTTACAGAAGCCACATTTATAGCAGGAGCCAAATACTCCGAGCACGTGATGTTCATTCTCTAATGTGGAGGGTGGGGGGAAACCCGGAGGACCCGGAGAAAAATTCAGGCGCCTACGGAGAGAGAGAGACACGCAAACTCCAAATATACATATATAGGAGCCCTATATAGGAGCCCTATATAGGAGCCTAGGCTATATAGGATCCCTATATAGGAGCCTAGGCTATATATGAGCCCTATATAGGAGCCTAGGCTATATAGGAGCCCTATATAGGAGCCTGTGATATCGAGGAGCTTGGCCTTTATAGGCGCATTCTATCGAGGAGCCGAGGCCATTTATGAGGCATTTATAGGAGCCTCGGTTATAGAGGAGCTTTATAGACCTATTGCTATAGGGCAGGCGTGGGGGCCGCATAGGCCCGCGGGCCGTGTAGGGCCGCGAAATCATTTGGCGTGGCCCTGCCAGGGCCACCGCAGGCGGAACTCGAAATTCAACAAATCTCGGAGCAAACCTGGAAAAGCAGTTGCGAGTAGCAACATCATCATCACCAGCAGCTAACATCATCACACGCCTCGCCAAAGAGAAGCAGTTCCAGCCGTCGAATTAGGGGTGAGTTAATTAAATGTTTGACAAAATATAACGGGCTAATTTTTAAGTTGATAATTTTGTATGGCCCGCGAATGATGTTGTAAATATCGAAATGGCCCTTGGCAGAATGAAAGCTTCCCCAGCCCCTGCTCTAGAGGCTTAACGGCGTGAACAGTTCATGAAGCTTCCTCGGCTCTGGGTGGCAGTGTGGGGCCAGGTTTCACCCAACAAGAGCCGGAGACGTTTTGAGCTTTTGAAAGATCCATCTTCGAACTTTGAAGGGAGTCTTTCGTAATTTCTTTACAGGCAGTCCACACGCCGTCACGTGAGGTTGCGGCGCCGTCTATCCAGTGACGATTGCCAGTTTGTGGCCTACGAGAAACGTCAGCGGTGCGCGAAGCCCACGCGATAACAAAGGCATTTACGGTGGGACACTTAAGTAGAGAATGCGACGTTTATGAGGGTTTTTCTTTCTTTTTCGAAGGCCACACCTGGTCACACGATTTGACTACGCCACGAGAAGCGTTGACGACTATCCGATGTCAGTGAAACACCCCGTGGGCTTTTGCAACGGATATTATCCACATTATGAATGCGTCGCTAACTCGCCGCCGCCACCACTCGCGCCACGGCCAGTAATTGTTAAAGGGTTTGCCACGTCAACAAAAAGTGCAAATTAGTTGCCAAGTCCAGCACACACCCAGTGCTGGATA